CAGATTTACTTCAACAACTATTTCAGAAAAAAACAAAAGAAAATAATACACACCAAACACGCATACAATCTTTTTTTTTTTTAAATAATCTCATTTAGCGAAGATTTCGTTTATTTTATGTCATTAAAATATAGATTGCATCACAATCTCCTTTTCTTCCCCTTGAAAAAACAGGACAAACTGATTTCTGGAGGGTTGGGGCGGAAAATCTGAAAGAATTTGTTGTCATCGGCAACGAGTCTATGTGTAAAGTTTCAGCTCAGTTGGTTGACGGGGTGTGGGTCTATTAGCCGTCCGAAAATTTTGCCCTAAGCACACGAGCAAAAGTGAAGTTAAAATAAAGGATTTGGCGTCTTTTGAAATATGAAGACTTATTAGAAACGTTTTTAAGACAATATTTATCAGCGCTCTATAAAATGTGGCACTTTGACATGAATATCTGTACTATTCTTTGGGGGATGAATTGTGTGAATGCTATGATAAAATGTGCCACTTTGACATGAATATCTGTACTATTATTTGGGGTATGAATTGTGTGAATGCTATCATAAAATGTGGCACTTTGACATGAATATCTGTACTATTATTTGGGGGATGAATTGTGTGAATGCTATCATAAAATGTGCCACTTTGACATGAATATCTGTACTATTATTTGGGGGATGAATTGTGGGAATGCTATCGAACGAATTCCATAGAACTTCGCTAAGTATTTGAATCAATGGTCAATAATTGTATTATCAACGGATGCACAATGCGAAGTTTACAGCATCATGCAACACACCAAAGTAAAGAAGAATCGATTTTTTGGAGGGAGTTTATGTGTGAAGCAGTTTAACGACATCCAATTCTTCGTTCTTTCTTCGGTGACTTAAGCATTAACATTTTAATGCAGCCTTTCAAGAAGAAGATTTTATTTCCTTCATTATTTTTTTTTTTTTACGACTGCAGAATTCAGGGCTGAAGTCTGAAGTGGCGGTGTGTGTGTGTGTGTGTGGGGGGGGTGGGGGTGTGGTGTTGGTGGTCAATACATTTATCCCAACCCAAAATCCAGTTTTATATTTTCTCGGCCTATAACTGCAGCTTCTCACATGTGGCTATGTGTAAGCATATGGTTGTGATCAATATGTTTCAAGTATCTTCCCGTACACATCATATGACGTCACGCCTCACGTTTTAAGTTAGGATCGTTCTTAAGAACATAAGCTGAATGCGCTTCAATATGATACGGATGTTATAGACGTTCAGTGACACCTGGAAATAACGCGACGCCCTGGGGGGGGGGGGG